TGAAAATAGTAACATTTAACTATTTGAATTATTACTCATTTTTCTTCTCTTCATTCTGATTTTTTTTTAGTTTTGGTACATTAGGTAAGGCAATAAAAGTTTTGGCTTTGATGATGTAATTTAGGTTCAGTTTGATTCGGTGCAACAAGTCATTGTTGGCCTTCCGCGCCGAGCATAAGTTTGGCGCTGTCGTTACCCTCCAGTCTGAATCTTTCGCTCCATCATAATGGCACTATTTTCAGTATCACTGTTCAAAAAAGCAACAGTGACTAAAGCCGTAAATCAAGAAAACACGAGACGTAGATCATGAAAAGGTGTTGCCATGTTGCCTACAGAACCATACCGCATGACTGTCGAAGATAAAACAGACAAAAAAAAAGTGTGAACTGAAAAAAAGCTAAAATGCTGACAGTAGAATACAACCTATAAATATATTTTTTTCAGAGTACCTTTCCCCAAATCAAATGTTTCTATTTGTTATCTCTGATCTTCTTGTTCATCTTCATCTTTTTGTCTCACAAACTCCTCTTCTTTTTTATCTTCTCGCCAATCATCCATTTCTGTTTCTTCCAAAATTGCTATCCTTTTACATCTCCACACCCTCTTCAAGTTTCACAAACTGGCTGATGACTGTGAAAATACAGAAAAAAAGTTGCTTTTTTTTGTGTTCAAAGAAATGATTGATGTCAGCAAATTAATTTGCTAACCATATTGAACTTTCGTCCATTTTACTTAGTTATTTTAAAAAATTAAATCTAACAAAAAATGGTAAAAAGAAGAAAAAATTTAGGAGGAGAAAGAAAGAAATATAAATTAATAAAGATAAAAATATTTTAAGCAAGAACTTTCAGAAGAAAAAAAAACAAGCATACCAATCCTCATCTTCTCCTATTATTTCTGCCTTTGCATTAATATTGGATGGGAGGGGGGAGGGGGGAAAGGGAAAGAAAAAAACAGGAAAACCAAAAAAACCAATTTGTTTTGTTAACTATTTCATTGATATTGCAGAAAAAAATTAAAGAAAGTCATCCTTTAA